TGCTACTTTCATCATATTGGTTTTCGGGTAGTGTTGTCTGTTGCTCTCGGGTTTGTCTGCTTTTGCTGTTGATTCTCTGTCTATAGTGGCCTGGTTAATATTTTCTGTAATGCTGGTCTTCTTTTAAGGAATTCCTTTACTTTTTCCATGACTGGATAAATGCCTTTATTTCTTCCTCATATCTGAGGGACAATTTTCCTGGATATAATATTCTTACTTGGTAGTCTTTTTCTCTCAGAATTTTATATATGGCACTCTGTTGTCTTCTTTTCATTGTTTCTGCTAAGAAGTCTGAGTTTATCCTTACCGTTTTTCTTTGTTGGTAACTATTCTTTTTTCTCTAGCTGCCTTCAGGATTCTACTTCCTCAAAATTGCATAGTGTGACTACGGTGTTCTGGTGTTTTCCTTTTGACAGCTAACCTATTTGGAGTTCTCTCAGCTTCTTAAATCATTATTTTCTCCTGCTTTGTGGTGTTGGGGAGATTTTCTTTTATGATTTCTTGTACTATTTTCTCTGTAGATTTTTTTGTTTCCTCTTGTTCTGGGATCACTGTTTCCCTTGATAGTTTCTCATATCATTCTAAGGCTTTCTTCAGATTCCTTTGATTTTCTGTTGTTGTTGATTGTTTCTCACATCAATTATAGTCAAAGTGGTTTTCTTTAAGCTCACGGATTCCATTTTTTCTGCTTCCATTCTATTTCTCTGGTCTTTTATTATACTGCTTACTTCTGTTATATCATTGATTATCTTTCAGGATTCTTTCAAGTTTAAGGATTTTAGTTTGTCAATTTCTTCCATTATTCTCATGAGTGCTCCCCTCATCTCTTGAAAGGACCCGAATATCATTCTTCTGAATTCTGTATCTACCAGTTCCATGGCCTTTTTTTCAGAGTACTTCATTGAGTTTGGGTAATTTTCAGTTGTTTGTTTATGTTTTCCTTAACTTTTTTGTTTGTTTGTTTGTTTTGGTTGACTGATGTTTACTTGGTATTGTGGTACAGCATTTAGTTCTCTGTGAGCTGCTGTGTTATGTAGAGGTAGTTGGCTCTATTTAAAGATGTGATAGAGGTCTAACAGGAACTGGAAAACATAGAGTGATGAAATGGAGAAAGGGAGAGAGAGATGGGTATGTTGGTAAGGTGGTGCAGGAGAAGAGACAGGCTAAAATAAAAGTAATTACAGTAACAATAATGGCTTTAAGGATAGGCAGACTAATTTGTAAAAATAATGGGAAATGTACTTTAAGATGGGTCATGAGAATTAATAAGTTGCACTGATATACGTATTTCATGAGAATAAAGAGAGCAGAGAGTTAATGGGTGGATGTACAGGGAGACAGGAGACAAAAGAGACATAAGTCTCGGCTGTGGACACAAATTTGTGTTGCTCTGAAAACAAGAAAGTGGGCCTGTCAATGCACTCAGATTGGGCAGGGGCATGTGTGTTTGAGTGGGTGGACTGGAATATAATGGATTACCTGTTTTTGTCTGGTGAGATTAGGCATTCTCAGGAGGGTGGGACTGCACTAGAAGAGGGCACTGGAAGAGGAAGTGTGAGAGAACTGTAAAATTATATTGATAGTATTGCAATATAACAAAAGTTCAAAAATCAAAGAAAATAATATAAAGTAGAAAATAAAACTCCCTTGTAAGTGGGGAGTCCTGCTCTTTGATAGTGTTAGTTTGTGAATAAGTTTGCTTCGTTGGGGAGGTGGGGCAAGTGAGTGGGATAGGTCACTGGAGACCAAAGCAAGAACTAAGGAGGAAAGAATGGGGGGGAACGTGAAAAGTTAAGTGTGGTTACTGATTAATCTGCACCAAGCAGTCCATGAAGAATGATCTACCAGAGACTAGTGAGCTAAGAGGTTTGGCTGGTTGGGTTGCTTCAGGGTGTAGCAAAAACCAGCTCTGCCATGCAGGAGTGGACTCACAGAATT